GCCCTCGTGCTTGGTTAATAAGATATATGTATTCTCTTAGTGGTCCCCTGTCTACTTGTTGACCTCATTGCTAAAGGAAACCTAGCAGCCTGCATAGGCATTGTCATCTGATGATAAGACAAGCAGTGATAAGTGTAATGGATTTTACTCTATGGTTACTACATTAACAAAGGGTTTTATTCATAACAACATTCATAACAGGTTATTGATGCTGTTCATAAAGAAGGAGTAAAGTTAACAACTGTGTTAACTACTCATCATCATTGGTATGTGAACATTAATCAAATGTAGGGTGTATGATAAAACATCTTAATAAGTTTGTTTTTTACATCTTTTACTTTATACCAGTTGACAAAATTAATGGCCACATTCAAATACTAAATGTTTTACTTAGACTGTTTATAAAACATAAAGCAGACTACTCGCAGCCTGTATCTATTGTTGATAGCTGTCAGTATTAATGAGGACAATAAGTGGCCAATTTCATGGTTCCCTACTCATGAATTCACTTGTCAGTTTCCCTATTCTGTTAGGGATCATGCAGGTGGAAATGTAGAGTTAGCTGAACTTGTGAAGGGGCTGACAGTGTGTGGTGGTGATGACAGAATTGGTGCACTGAACAAGAAAGTTACCCATGGTGATGGGTTAAAGGTTTGAAAAATCATTATATTAAACTATCAAATATTAAATAGACTTAAGATGAATCATGTCATTAACTGAGATTTAATGTCTGGCTGAGCAGTGTCCAATGTGAGCTTGCTGATGAGTGTTGTGTACTATTCAGGTTGGAAACCTTGATGTAAAATGTCTTTTTACACCATGTCACACAAGAGGTCACATCTGTTATATTGTTAGTGGCCAACCAAGTGCTGTGTTCACAGGTAAGGAAATTCCTGCTTTGCTTCAAAACTAGGTTGCAGTCATCATTACTATAAGACTGTTTACCTTGTTAGCATACCAGGATGCCCAAATTTTTTTTGGTAGGATCAGCAATTTTTTTAATAAAATCTTTTAATACCAGTAAAGCAGTGAGTGTATTACATTATTGCACTGGCTATGATACATAATCTATTTTACAGAGATGCAGGTTGGCACTGTCGTAAATTAGCCTGCATGCAGCCCCACTGATCCTTCGTTAAGTGATCCCACTTAACGAAGGATCAGTGAGGCTGCACGCAGGTTATCATAAATCAACCATGTTGCAAGTCTTTTTTTTTTTTTCAGGTGACACCCTCTTTGTGGCAGGCTGTGGAAAATTCTTTGAAGGGTATCCTTCAGAAATGTATAAGGCCTTAATTGAGGTACTTGGAAAATTACCAGCAGATACTGTAAGTATTTATAATCAAAAGGTGAAAAGTGAATTTCTTGATAATAATACTACTAATAATTAATTAACTTGAAATGTGCCGGGAATTTAACTTCTTTATATGGAGCATACAAAATGCAATGTTTATTTAATCTTTTCCATCCTGGGAAAGACCATGTAGTGGTTACACCTGCCATATCAGACAGAAAGGAAAGTAAATTTTGAGATCTTGGGACTGAAAGGTTTTATTGTTAAAAGAAAACAACTTTATTTTACAGCTGGTCTAGTGTGGACATGAGTATACAGTGAATAATCTGAAGTATGCTTTTCATGTTGAACCTGAAAACCCAGAAATTCTCAGACATATAGAGCGGTCTAAGGTAATTTATTGTAGTTGTTAGAAATAGTACAATGTACATTTAAAAACTCAACACATTAAATTTTACTCTTTGTGCCATCAGTGTAGCAGGCAGCATTAGCTTGGGTTTACATCCTGCCTATCAATTTAAGAAGCATTTAATTTTTTAAATTTACTTTTAGAACAAAAGAGAAGCAAATGAACCAACAGTTCCATCATCCATTGGTGATGAGTTCAAATTTAACCCATTCATGAGAGTTCAGTAAGTTGCATTTTAAAATTTTGTACTTTTAATGAATGCTTGAGAAAATGTGTTAACTATCAAAGTTCTAAAGTTTAATTGTTTGCTATTAAAAGTGACTATTGCCCAGGTAAAAAGTCAGCAAATCCATACAAACATGCTATGGTCAGGGGTGATTAACTAGCAAAGAGCTGATTAAAAGAATCTTCATAAAATGAACACCTCTTAGAAATTTGTCAAAGAATTAACTTTCTTTTATAGAAGGTGGTTTTCACTTAGGGTTAGAGTATATAAAAGCTGCCCTTTGCCTCATTATAGATAAGTTATGGGCAAAATAATTTTTGCATAAGGTGCAGGGTGAGCTGAAGTAAGAATAGGCCATTTTACAGTTGTGTACTTAGTTGCCAAGCCTTTGATTCAGAGTGAGGCTGAAGGTGACCTTGTTGTGATAGAGACCTGTATCTACCTAGCATGATAACAAAGTGATTTACATTTGAAAGGCAGAGGGGTTTGTATCATAACAAGGTCAACCCTAGCCTCACTCCCATTCAAAGGCTTGGCAACCACGCACACAACTGTAAAATGGACTGTTGGCCAGCATTGCTGAAAGGGAGGAATTTGAAATACAAACTAGCCATTGCCCTTTTGAATTTTTTTTGTTTTAGTGAGGAAAATGTAAAGAAATATACAGGAAAATCAGACCCAGTAGATGTGATGGGAGCCCTTAGGCAAGACAAGGACAAGTTCAAACCTAAACACTGATTGGGATTAGATTTGAAATATTTTGTAAAAGTACAGTGCTGAAGAAATAATAGAGATGAATGGTTTGTACAAACCCTGGCAGTTTTGGCAAATTATTGAAACCTGTAAACTTGTTTACCAGACCTTCAAATTGTAAAAAAGTACTAGATACCGGTTGTTTAAAAACTGTTAACTATTGTGGAATTTATTTTTAATCAGCAAACTGCATAAGGAGTGTATAAATAAATGTTTGTACAAAGAGCAGTCCCAGAATAAAAGAACTATATACTCTTACATCTGTATTGAACCTGCACATCTTTGGTCCTGTCTTGTTTGAGATTGTTGTTAATGGTAAAAATCCCAAGAAGACAACATTTGATTGACAGAGATGAGTAAGAGTGTAACGGAAGAGTCTTCTTTACTGAACACCTTAAAGAGATCAAAGTGTGTAATGTTGGAGGTTATGAAGTGACTGTGTAGAACTTCATTCATGTAAACTTTCTCGCAAAGTTATACAAGGTAATTAAGTTAGGTAAAGAGAAAAATGCAGAGATGAAGATTCATTTTTCAGCTCACATTATGAAATGTTAAAATGTCAAATAAATATTGCCAGATTTGCCATTAGGGCATCTTGAATCTCAAACTACAGCCTTTTATGGTGAGTGAGTCGATAGTTCATTTTTAAAGGCTGGTTTTAGACAGAAGCTTTTCAGCTAAAGGTTGAACTAAGCTGGTAGGGCCAATATAATTTAATGGCCTCTTCCTTCAGGTTTTTTTCCCAGTAGTGAGACACCAAGGGGCTTGACACAAAAATATTAAAATGAAACACATGTTAACAGAACTTTCAAAGCTAACACTGTTGTGCGGTTACTGGATTTCAGGATAATTTGCTTGACAATACGTGAACATAAATCACAAGTAATCTACTTCATCTGAATGGGCAGTTGATAAAATACCTATTTTATTCTAAGTTTTAATGAAACGATTGTTTGATAGTTGACACTGCAAAATTCTAAAAAGTTAGAAAAGAGAACTGTTCAAGATATGATTAAAATTTTCAATACAAAAGTATCAGTTAGAGTATTAGACTCTTGCATGTATTTTTGTTTCACTTCCTAACATAATTGAATGAAAAATTGTTAAATTCACACAAGGCAAATACTACATTTAAAAAAGTATTGTTAACAATATTGAAGAACTTATGATGATAAATTCTGATGATAAGTTGCATATATGATTTTTGTGTAGAATAATTTGTACAAGAATGTTCTTTTCTTTACAAAAGGTTTCAGTCTAGAGAGACAAATTTTTATTAATATGAATCAGTCTATCTTGGAATTGAGTCCTTTAGACAACCACAGACATTAAGATTTCATTGAATCACAAAAACAAGCCTTTTCTGTAGAAATCCATCTTCCTTGAAATAAATTAAACATATGACTCTGCTAATTTGTAAAACAGCAAGTAAGGAGAGGTGAAGGATGATTCAGATGATGACAGCAATGTTTTTACGTCAGATTCTTCTATGGTTCTAACTTCAGCGTCATCAAAATGAATCCATTGAAATTCCTCAGTTTCTGTGACACTTCTACAGGTATGTGGCATTTGTCCTTCACCTTGCCTCTGTCTTTCTCGATGCAGTTGTCCATCATTTTGTTGGAAATTCAGTTGCCTTATTGCACTTCTGTGAGAGTTTGTGCCACTTTGGTACTGAAAACTGTGGATCTTACTCACTGATTTTTTGGTTCCTGTGCAGCTAAGTGTTGGTGTACTAAAATTCCTGCATTTTTCAGCAAGGTGTTTGTTTCCCTCATCAGTTCCTTCATCTGTAGAATGCTTCATTCCTTCACTTGTAGAATGCTTCTTTGATTTGTGAAAGAATTTTGTTATTCCAGAAATACATGTTATCTTCACTTTCTCAGCAGAGTTCTCAGGACTTGGGGCCTGAATTTTATCAGGTTTCTCATCTCTTAGAAAAGAGTTATAACCAACTGATTTTTCACTAACACTTGAGAAAGAGTGTGAATTGAACTCTGCAGTTGATGGTTCATAACTGTCCACTCTCTTTCCTTTATCAGAGGACAATACTTGTGCATTGCCATAGTGATGGTGTTTTGGCACCTGAACATAAGCCTGATAGTGTCCACTGCAAGATGTCATACCACTGTGCATTACAATGCCAAATAGATGGTAGGTAGGGTTAGATAGAGGACATGATTTTGAACACCACTCCTTCACTGACAGCTCCATGGGTGTCTCAAGATTTGAGGTTATCTTGGAAACACTACTTGATAAAAATCTGAAGAAAAGGAAACAGCATCAGGTAGTTGTGCTCTGAAAATAGGGACCTACAGCAAACCACAACAACAATAGAAACGGGAACATTGTTTCAAAAAGGTTCAGTAAGTAGAACAATTATGCATTTTCTAACCATCTTCTGCAAAATGAAACTGGGAAATCACTAAAACTAGCATGACCAGAGAATGGGAACCCAGACAGCTTTTTAAATATGTCTCCTTTGCAAATTTGTCTCAGTATCTCATCTTCCATCCCAGTTATGGGCTTCCAACTGATATCCCAAAATTTCAAAGTTAGTTTTAAATGAAAAATTAGCAAAAATTTCAATTATGAAATGTTACACTGTTGATAGTATTAAATTTCCTTTTTGCAAATTTCTTACCCCAATGAGGCATTTGCAGTAAACCTCTTGAGATGGATTATAAGTATGTTTGGCAGTTGGTCAAAACATGTGGATATCTCAGCTTCAGTATGGGTGAGACAATTGTCACAGAAGTATTTGTTCTCTCCTGTCAGATGTTCTATCCTAGCAAACTGTGACAGGGCCCAAGAAAGGCTTTTGCCATCTTGTCCTTTCTTTGGTGTTGGTGAAAATGTGTTAGCAGTGTTTGCATCATACACTTTTGGCTCCTGTTGAACTGGAACACTGATGTCTTGGAAATTTTCAAACCTTTTCTTGGCCTCTTCACATGTCATACATTTAGTCTGATGCAGAAGTCGTCCCTGAAACAATTCTTCTACTGGGCTTACATGTTTGCTTATTCTGTTGTTACTCCTTGAATTGCCAAATGGGACTTCTAACTCTCTTACAACTGGTGTATCTTCAGTTTTCTTTTTAACATCATTCTCTGTATCTTGAAGATTTACAAGCAAGCTACACAAGAATTCTTGGGCATCATGCTGCTGATTGCCTTCAAACATTGGATTTTGCTTCCTGTTCAAAGAAATGATATTTAAAAAATGTTGGCATGAGGTTGAAGAGAGTGCTGTCAGGTCAAATTTACCATTTCAAAATCTTGATTTAGGGAGTTTGTTTGTGTAAGCACCGTAATATGGGATCTTTAGGGAAAGAGGGAAATTTGTATGGGTAATGGTCATCATCGTCTAGAGCACACACAAACCACACACTTAGGAGGAATGTCATGTGAAAAATTACAACAAACCTGAACATCTCCATGAAACCAGAAGGTTTTGCAGCCAGAATCAAATAACTTCTTCTTTGCACGAGATGATCACAATTCTCTTTGTTCTCACAATAATCCATCTCCACCTCTTTCATCTCACTGAAAAGCTAAGTAACACAACAGGATATGAATTTGTTCTATTCCAGGACAAATAGGCCATGGGACAGCATTGCAACACTGAGTAGAGACACAAATAAAGATGATAATGAAAGGAGTCGCTAATTATCTCACCTCTTTTAGTTTGCAAACAACTGGTCTGTGGTCATTACCAGTGTTGTCACAGGGGTCTATGTCTTTGTCTGGGCCCTTATAATAAGAAACATATTGTGTGAATCTCTACAATGTTCTTCAGGTGCTAAATTAAGGAGTCCTTCTGATAAAGTGTGAGGACATTATACAAGAAGTTTTCAGTAGAAACAACTATATCATGCAAGAAATTCTGCAACTTTTGGAGAGAAGATTTGGAAAGGGATTCTTACCATCATTAAATTAACAACTATCAGACAGATTCAGCTGCCCTTTGCTAGTCAGTTATTTATTATGGACAATTTGTGCACTTTTCTATAAATTTCGTGTTCCTTATAGATATCATGTTTGAGAAAGTGTCCCTGCTTATTCGCTTAGAAATGGCCAATTTTAATCTCAAGCCTTAATTCATAGCCCTTCAACAGATGAAAAGCAAGAAAAAAAAGTCCTTAATTTGCATTTAGATAGATGCCCTCACCACACAAGAGGAGAAAATGATTGCCACTTGTACAGTGATCAAATTCATCAAATTGATGTCATTTGACCCAAACATAATCTTGGAAGATGTTTTGTAAACCCTTTTAGTGCCCTAATGGAAGTTCGTTCCTTACACCGTGACCAGCCAACTGAGTGCCAACACGTGTGTCCTCCCGATCTTAACAAGAAATCAAGTCTCAAAACCTAACTCTGACACGAAGTAACCTGTGCACTATTACCTGTTCATTGTCAGCTGATTTTGAGGGATATAGCTTCCTGACGAGCGAGTCGATTTCCATGACAGATTGTAATAAGCCGGGACAAAACCGCAACACTTGCAATACAGCGTTTGCATAGCAAATATTTCCAAGATTCTTCAATCCAGCAAAAGGAGGAGGAGGGATTGGAGGTTCAAAAGCATCTTCACCTTTTGTATTCTGAGAAGTCGAGGGGCTAAATATTGGGTGCAACTTCTCCCTGTTTTCGATCTCGCTCAGCGACTTCTTGTTCTTAAGCTTCAATGAAAACTTGGTTCTTTTGCGAGGTGGGCTTCTAGGACTCAATGGTGGTGAATCTGTCTGAAAAACCGTCGACATCTTGTTCCCGAAAGCTTTGAGATATTACTTCTTTTATATTTAGGTACGACATTGACTCTAAGAAATTTTTGAAATCTTTAGCAAATGCAACCCTAAGACTTCCATTTACCCGCCATTCTGCACAAGAAATATAACTTGTTCGAGTCCAGTCTACGAGAGTAAACAAACTGCGGGGACTGGGCTTGAAACACGATAGTACCGGTGAGTTTATTTTGATTATTTAGTATAAATCAACACTTATCGTGTGCAATTTTAGCATGTTAATTTTTTGCGAAACACCATCTTTCAAATATACAAGTTACTTTTATTCTGATAATTATGTTAACAGTCGTTAACAGTCGTTAACAGTCGTTAACAGTCGTTAACAGTTGATGGAGTGTTCGAAACAAGCCAGTTGTGTTTATAGCACAGCGGTATTCAAGTGGCGCGAATAGTTACCCGGGAATAATGAAACATGGCGACCCTCCAGAAGTAGAGTGCTCAACTTTTTCACTGGTAAAGAAGATAAACTTGAAATGTTCAGTGCACAGAAACTGGATATAAAAGCTACTGAGCTTAAGGCTGGGTTGTTGCTTTCTGAACCTTTACATGACGAAGGACCTAAAGAAGAAGAGAATATTGAAAGAGCAGTCTGTTCTTACTCAAATGAATCAGAGCGCTTTTTGTTAAAAGACAGAAGCTTTTCAAGGCAGTATGCGCAGATCTATTCAGTCCGCATCATGGCAATGAGTAAGAAGTTAGCCACAGCTGCAAGAAGGAAATGGGGTTTGTTATCGATCTACTTTAACAAAAATTTAGCTTGTAGTTACGTTTTGTGAGAGTTGGAAAACCAGCCATGGTAGTTTTGATCGGTTTACAATCTATGATATCTGAACTCTCATTCCATCAACCAAAAATATTGTTGGTGCTGTTAATGTCAGTGGGAGTAGCATTGAGGGATGTTGTACAACTGTGGTAGCAGATTTTGAAATTTCTGAAATTGTGCCTTTCAGGTGGGACGGAGAGCACTTTTAAAATAAAGAAACTGTCTGAAGTGAAAACGGATGAAAAATGTTTTGTTATCGGAACGCTATTCAAGAAAATGGAAATGAAACCTAGTATTTTAAAGGAAATAAGTGAAGAGGTATGTTTGATGAGAGACTCAAAATAATTAAACTGCCATTTATGATTATACAATTTCTTCTAACTTGTCGTCAAAGTGTTATGCATATAGTATGAGGTATTTGATTGATAGATATTCAAATTAACTGTATGGTTGGAGTTGAAACTTGCATACTAAAGTAGATACCACAACTGTAATGACTATTACTTTTCTCAACGGATTGTGAAGTAGTTTGTTTTGTTGGCAGCATAATTTGATGCCACAGCCCTCCAGAGAGAGATTTACAGAAGATAGTGATGAACTTGTCATAGAGGATGAAACAGAGAGAGTGTCACTTACTGGTAACATACAAGTTGGAACGTGTGTAACAGGTATTTTAGCATACATACATACATAAACTTTATTGAAGTGTCAAGGTATTTAGCTAAAAGCTAATTGTGGACACTATAAATGAATAACATGAGTATAATATAAGATTAAATAGAGTATATGTAAATACACATACATAGAGACTTACAGTGGAACCCCGCCATACGACCACCCTGATAATACGACCACCCCGTTATTGCGACCACTTTTTTGTGGCCCGAACAAAAGCCCACTCATTTCTTATCTGAAAACCCCGTTATTACGACCAACAACCACCTTTGGGAGTCCCAAGTCGTTATTTTCTTCATAAAATTACCCTACGATTCAAGCAAACAAATGTTCCACAACTCAAGACTCGAGGAACCGAAACCATCATCTTACGGTAGCTCATTTGAATGTTCACTCCATGGCGTCCCATGAAAATTTTCACCTCATCGAACAAATAGTTGTTAACTATGATATATTTATAATTTCGGAGACCTGGTTGGATCCTTCAGTTCGCGATTGTGACTTAAATATACCTGGCTACATTCTAACTAGGTGAGATCGTGGAACTCAGAAAAAAGGAGGGCTTATCGTTTACGCTAAGAACAAGTTTAAAGCTTCTGTGCTGGATACTTAGTCTGCTGTATCCGAACACGACTTTCAGCAGTTATGGCTTAAAGTTCAATGCAGGAAATTGAGATCTTTCTTGTTATCCACAGTATATAGACCTCCTGACGCTCCGATAAGTTTTCTGGAGGATTTAACTAAAACAGTCGTCAATTCTTTACTACAAGGCGTAAACGTTGTAATACTGGGAGACCTAAATTGTGATGTCCTTGGAAATGGGTCCGATGGTCGTGCCTTGTCTGATTTCTGCTTACGCTTTAATCTTGCACAGATGGTAAAATTTCCTACCAGGGTGACCGAAACATCAAAATCAATCATCGACGTCGTTTTAACCACAAACGAAAGTATCATCAGTTCGTGTGATGTGAAGGTGCGTGCTATCAGTGGTCACAACTTAGTTTGCATGTCAATGAAGTTGAAAACACCAAGGTCCCATTATGCATATGTTACTACCAGGAGCTATAAATACTATGACCCAAACAAGTTCCTTAGCGATTTGGAAAATGTCCCTATTCATATGGTTGAATTTTTCAATGATGTCGATGATCGAGTATATGCTTTTAACTGTTTATTTCTTGAGGCTTTAAGCGATCATGCCCCAATCAAGCGAATCAAGATAAAATCAAAACCTAATCCATTTATCTCTCTTGAGATTAAACAACTCATGAATAGGTGTGATGCTTGGCATAAAAGCGCAATTAAAACAGGCAACAAACTACACTGGAACGCTTACTGCTTTTTTCGCCAAGAAGTCAAACGCAAAATTAGATTTGCGGAAATGGAACGCGTTCAATCAGAGCTTCGAAATACTAATGGAAATACTAACTCCATCTGGAAAATTATTAACCGAGTAATCCCAAAGAAAAACACATCATCTTTAATGGCCACAGAAGATTCTAACACCCTAGCCAACAAGTTCAACAAGTTCTATACCAATGTTGGACCAACAGCAGCTAAAAAGGCCTCCGCTCTTGCCGTTAAGCACGGACTAACCTTCCAGGATATAAATCAGCATCCTACTAGCATCAGCGATGAGGAATGCGTAAAGTTCAGATGCCATCCTGTTACGGACGAAGATGTTTCGAAGATTATAAGAAATCTTCCACCTGATAAAGCACCCGATATGATAAAATAACTGCTAGACTGATAAAAGACAGCTCACCTGCGATTGTCACAATCATTACCAACCTTATTAATGGGTCGTTTTCTCAAAACTCCTTTCCTAATGCTTGGAAAATGGCTGAAGTCATTCCCATTCGAAAGTCTGGTGACTATGAGGATCCTGCCAACACACATCCTATATCACTGTTGCCTATTCTGTCTAAAGTATGCGAAAGATCTGCACTCTCTCAATTTACAGATTTCTTAGATTCAAATAGCATTATGCATCACTCACAAAGTGGGAACAGAAAACACCATTCCACGGAAACGGCTTTACTCCACTACACTGATGAATTGCTGAAGAACATGGATAATAAGAAAATATCTGTAATCGTCTTACTAGACATGTTGAAAGCATTTGATAGCAACCGTCATGATCTGTAAATTAACAAACTCCATAAATTAGGTGTTTCATTTGCTACGTGTTCTTGGTTCCTAAGCTACTTTTCGCAGCGTATGCAAGTTGTCAAGATAGAGGATTCCCTATCTGAGCCACTTCCGTTGAAGGCAGGGGTCCCCCAGGATCCATCTTAGGCCCCGTCCTATTTACTCTTTATGTGAATGATCTTCTCTAGGTCCCTAAACACTGTAGAGCACTGGGTTACCTGGATGACACCAAAGTTTTTATGGCACTTCCTTCTAGTCAGCTTTTGGAAGCTGTGGCTGCTGTAAATCAAGACCTCAGGGATATATCCAGTTGGTGCTGTGCCCACTCTGCTAATCAACCCCGACAAGACAAAACTAATTTTTTTTGGCGTTCCACAACTTACAAGAAGTATATCAACTTTACCACCTGTGATGTTGCTAGGGAAGGATGTAAAGCCTTCCTATGTTACCAAAGACTTGGGTGTACACATCGATTGTCACCTCAACTATAACGAACATATTGCGAAAACTGCTTCAACCTGTACATACATGTTAAACCACGTTAATAGGATAAAACATCTCCTAGACAGTAAAACTCTTGTTTTCTTGATGAACACTTTTATATTTAGTAGGTTATATTATTGCTCCATGGTTTGGAGCAACACGACAAAAGAAAACGTCAAAAAACTTCAATTAATCCAAAATTTTGCATGTAGAATCGTTTTAGGCCTTAAGAAATACGACCATGTCACGGAAGGCCTGAAATCTCTAAATTGGCTATATGTGAACGATAGACTGCTTACAAACGACTTATCAATGGTCCATAAGTGTATTCATGATCAGATACCCAGCTACCTTACTGGAAAATTTATTCAGCGTTCGAAGATTCACGACAAAAACACCAGATACAGTGGTGAATCAGACCTCCCAATTTGTAGATTAAAAACAGGGCAACAATCATTTGCTTTTCGGGGTGCAAAGCTGTATAATAACCTTCCAAACGAGATTAAGAAAACCTCTGACGTAAAAAAGTTTAAGGCTAAAGTCTATAATTATTTTTTAAATCTGTAATTTTTAATTTTAGCATACTATGATATATTCATGTAATTAGTTGTTAGCATTGATGGCGAAAGAGCCCTAGACAGGGAGCTGTTCAAATAAAGTATGTCAATACGACCAGTCAAAATGCTTGGTGGGGCTGCTGAATGAAGACAGACTCAATCTGACAAATAACACATTGAATTTTTATTCAATGTTTTTAGGTAGACATAGTTGTGGTCAGCATGTTCAGTCGATAACATGCGGAAAGGAAATTACAGCAAGTAAAGAAAATGAATGAACAGGCTCCACATCGCTGTGAGAACATGTTTACGTTTCAGTGTCTCGCAAATATTCATAAGTCAGAGTAGCATTTGGAGGGCTCTGAAAATTATTTCGCCTTTTTGTTTCTGTTCCCTTCCTCCTTGGCTCTTCTCTTCAAGTCCCTGTCCTTTTCTTTCCTCGCCAATGGGTTATTTGGAACGTCTAGTAATTTGTTAAGCATATCCACATTTCTTGGCTTTCCAGTAACCTTGTACACGCATGGTATTTCCATCCCATAGCCCCCGCCACAATTAACGGCTTTCCCAACAACTTGACCTTGTCCTTTCCTTCCTAAGGTTGATTGTATAGCGAAATTAAAGGTGCTGTACATGTTTAAAGCGTGTTGCATCATAATGTGACCCTAACTCATTAGTACGACCACCCTGTTAATAACACCAATTTTCCATGGCCCGAAGGTGATCCTACCAAAGGGGTTCCACTGTACTTCATCTATCCCTCTCAAATAGGAGTGGATCATGGGTCGTTGACAACAGTGTTAATAACAGGTGAACTAAAAAGAAGGAATTAACTCTACCAATGCATCAGAAGACCTTCACTGCAATTGACTCAAACTATTGGAGTCAGCCTTTTACAGCACAGCAAAACTTACCATGATCATGGATCAGAGTTAAAATACCTAACTGACAAATAACTTCTCACATGACTCTGAGGTTAACATCTACTCAGTTTGTAGCAGTCACTGTCAACATTAAAAGCCCTTTACAGGACTACTGTTTGCTGTAATGATCAGACCACCTGGCCAACTGTACTTTTGGGCTCAAACTATTAACTGTTTTAAGTTCTTATTCATTGTTATTTGCCAATTTCAGGAAGTTTAGTAGCTCTCTGTGGTCGTACAATTGACAGTGGTAAATTTGCTGTTGAAGATTATTGTTTCAGTGGCCTTCCTTACCAAACTGTACCAAACCTTGATAAACATTTGTCCAAGGGTGAAGATTGGTGAGATGGTTTCTGTAAAGTTTTCTCTCATGCCGTATTTGTATTTGTTATATTCATTCATGAGATATATATTTATAAACAAAGGGTGACTTTAAGAAAGCTTCAGCTCTTAATTAGTAGACACAAAGGAAACGCACAGAGTTTGGGGCAAAACACAATTTATTGAAAAGTACAGGCTGTAAAATAAAACTCGGGAGGGTAGGGAGGGTAAAACAAGCGAGGAGAGGCCGCAAATGACCTTTGAAACGACGCTGAACTCTAAATAACCGAGAAGAAACGTAACACGGATATTAAAAGACAAATGACACAAAGGGGAGCAGTGTCACTAATTAAGTGCTTTGACAAAGCCAAAACCACCAAAGTAATGTGCTGACCAACTCAAATCTTTCTTTTACTCCCTCATAGATTCTTAGAGTGAGCTGTGTGATAGGGCTGGTCACCATTTATTTGTCTTCATGACAAACTTCTTGATAAGCCTAAAGAGGCCTATTAAAGGACTTAATTTTCATTTTAAATTTTAGTTATGTTGCGTTTATCTCTGGTCTTGGATTTGGTGATAAAAGTCAGGATTTACTCGGCCTTCAGATGTTTTCTGATTTGGTGATTGGAGAACTTGGTAGTGTACAGGTGAGATTTGTTTCATATTGAGAGTAAAATTCTTTACCAAAATGAAGTAAAACCTCTGGAAATGATCTCATAGCCCCTTCCTTGGTAGGGCATATTGCCAGCTGAATTGTAGCTTGGAAAGGAATGCATTCAACATATTGTATCAGGAAAGGTTTTATTGCAAGTGTTTGTTATTCATCTCTAGACTTTTTCTTAGGTGGAGATTTTTTCAGGGTGAGCAGAAAAATATTCTGCTATCAAGTTCATTCTTTTACTAGTTGCCATCACTTGCAATGTTGAGAATTTCAAATGGCTTTTCATGCTGGACAATCATTCTCATTTTGCATTGTGGGACAAATTCACTTTTCTGTATGATTCCTCTTTGAAGATGAAATCGGAAATTGTCATTGACTTTGTTTAAGAAAATTTGATGCACATTTAATACATGTACCTTATTCTATTCTTGCCTTGTCTCCAGCATGTCAATTGACCAGTGAGCAAACTCTGCTTTAACCAAATCCTCCTTTTGTCACAAGTTGGGCATCAACAAGAGCTGTTCATTAACCCCTTTGCTTTTCACACCACATTGCTTTTTTACTGCAATACTATAGAACTATACCACAGTAGGCACATGTAGTCATAGACTGCCTTTTATTTATCACTTGTTAACCACTTATTAACATTGCAATGTCACTTTGGGAACCAAAGAAAACAAGACTCCAAACAAGGATGATGAGTTAATAATTTTTCCACTTTGTAAATTATTTTCCTTTTGAATGGATTTGTGCCTCAATAGAGATCCTCTTACTACAGGTACAGTGTATGACCCAAAATTGAGACCTCAATGATCATGTCAAATTTAGTAACCTCCACCTATATTTTGAATAAATCAACGAAGTTGAAATGGTAAATTGGCCACCGTTACGATTATAGAAGCTGATGTTTCGAGCGTTAGCCCTTCATCGTAGCGAATAGGGGAATTGTGGGTTGTGTGTGCTTTCAAAGGCAGAGAAAGGAGCTATGTGATTGGTGGGAACATGGCAATGAGAATAAAATGAATAAATTAGTGGAATGAAAAGCATTCGTTTTGGTAAATGGGACCTAGCGATGCCAATCTTTTTGTAGGTTTTGTCGAACACCAATTTTTCAGCCAATACAACAGTTCCAAACCTGAACTCTACGGTCGCTACATCAACGACTGTATCGGCGCCACCTCGTCTACCAGAGAGGACCTGACTCAATTCATAACCGCAGTCAATTCTTTTCACCTGGCTCTGAAATATACCTGGGAAATTTCTGACAATTCTCTATCCTTTTTAGACATCAAAGTTTCAATTGAAGGCAATGGTTTATGCACTAGTGTGTATTACAAACCTACAGACTCGCATAATTACTTGTTATATT